CACTTCTCCAGTTTTGCATATAGACCAAATTGACAGAGTCATTCTAAAACTTGTTTTACATGTAAGGTATATTCTTCAGGGCTGCTGAGTATACTAAAACATCATCCAGGTATATAATAATGAATCTATCTAAAAAATCTCTGAATATATCATTTATCAGATATTGAAAGACTGCCAGAGCATTTGTAAGCCCAAAAGGCATTACCAAATATTCAAAAAGACCGTAATGGGTATGAAATGCAGTCTTTCATTCATCACCTGGTTTGATCTTAACTAGATTGTAAGCGCTTCTCAGATCTATTTTAGTAAAGATTCGAGCTGAGGATAGATGATATAGTAATTCAGAAATAAGAGGAAGTAGATATTTGTTTTTTATAGTAACTTGATTCAAACCATGATAGTTTACACATAACCTCAATGACTCATCCTTTTTCTTAATGAACAATATAGGGGCCCTAGTGGGAGACCTAGAGTGCCTAATATATCCTTTGTCCAGGTTTTCTTCTATATACTTTTTTAGTATTTCTAATTCTAATTCTGACAGTCCATATATAGACCCCATAGAGGCTGTTTTCCAGGTACTAAGTCTATGGCACAGTCATAGGGTCTGTGCTTTAGTAACCTATTCACCTCTTTTTCATCAAATATATCACTAAAGCATTATATTTTGTTGGGAGTATCAGGGTAGCGATAATGGAATCCTCTCTTATAGAGGCTATATAGAAGACTTGGGCCAAGAAAACTCTTTCTGATGTACTGATATGGGTTGTTGGTTGTTTTGTCAATGGTATTTAAGATGTAGGATACAATCTGTATCTAAAAATTTTAGTGTACACTCGCACCAATTAATATTAGGGTTGTGGTGGACTAACCATGATAGTCCCAGAATGACTTGATAGTGCAGCGTTAAATCAGGTTAAATATGATTTCTTTGTAATAGTTCTGATAACACAGCAGCAATGGCCTGGTCTCATGTATAACTGCTCCAGATGATATTTCTCATCTATCTATTACTTTTACTAATAGAGGTGTGCTTTTAGTATTAATAGATAAGTTGTATTTGTATGCTAAAATATAATTGAGGAAACAAGCTAAAGCTCTGGAGTCTATTAATGCATTGACGAGCAACATGGATTTGTTCAAAAGTTGTATAAATATTGGTATAACAAAAGTATCCATTAAAGTATCAGAAATTAGTTGTTTGGGGCCTTTGTTACAAGTGCTATCTAACTGCAGACCCCCTACTGTAGTTGGGGCTCCTCTTTTTCTGAGTTCTCCAAATTTGTTTTCACAGCATCAATCTTATGTTTGGTATTATTTTTCCTTGGGCAACTCTTAGCTATATGCCCAGGTTCGCTACAGTATAGGCAGAGATTATTGGCCCATCGTCTCTGCTTTTCTTTTTCTGAAAGAGTCTTTGCCTTGTTATCTATACCACTTAACTTAACATATAGAGGGTAAGAAATATAAATAAAAGATAATAAAAAGAAGCAACAAAGAATAACAAAAAGGTAATAAAAGTGTTACAGTTACATGGCCAAGCCACTCAAGCCCGTGACTCAAGCCCGACTCAAGCCTGTGACTCAAGCCTGACTCAAGCCTGTGACTCAAGTCTGATTCAAGCCCGATTCAAGCCCGTGACTCAAGCTCGAAGCCCAGATTCGTTACGAATCCAAGACTTTATTTGTATAATAAATAAAGTAATCCAGTTGTAATAACAAAGCCATGCATTAACAATGTAGTCAGTTTTGTAAAACCTCAGCAATCATACAATAACAATTAGTAATTAGTAATAGAAGAATTACAAGATGAAAAGAAAGAAATTGTATACTTATCTCTTTAGTCTGTTCAATAAATTTTTCATTGTGCCATGCTTAAATTCTAGCTGCATCTTGTGTTGTGACAGTTTGAACAGACTAAATAACCCATAGACCCATAGTCATATCGATTATAAATCTCAAACCTAGCACTTAAACAAATCAGCTATTAATAAAATTTATCTAAAGAATAAAAAAAAACAAATAGCAGTAGTCTAAAATGGATGAACAACCAGACCTCAATACTATTCTTATTGCATTACAACAAATCTAACAAGAAAATCAACTTTTAAGACAAGAGAACATGGACTCTTGCAACGAACTTAACAAACTCCAGTTGCAAGGAGAGACTCATAACTACCCAAAAGAGCTAAAAGTTAGCTTGCCTGACAAGTTTGATAGGACCCGCTCCAAGTTTAGAGGGTTTCTAAACCAAATACGGCTCATTATCCATTTACAGTCTAGCTATTATCCTAATGATAGGACTCAGGTAGGGTTGCTTGGCAGTCTGCTTGTAGGCCCAGCATTGGCATTGTTTGCTCCACTCCTTGAAAAAGAATCACTATTGTTGAAAGATTTTGATTGTTTCATTGGGGAGTTCAAAACTACCTTCGGGGACTCAGACAAGGTCAGAACAACAGCTACTAGAATCAGAAAACTTACCCAGAAATCTAAATCAGCCTCAAGCTACACTTCAGAGTTTCATCAAATCTCTAGTAACCATGAGTGGGGCGAAGCGGCATTAATCGATCAATTTCAAATTGGGCTTAAAAACGATGTAAAAGACCTATTACTTACTATGGAAGATCCTACATCATTGAACAATGCAATATCTAAGACAGTATGCTACGATAACAGATTGTTTGAGTGATATCATGAACGACAAGATCATAGTCTAGATCGGGGTGATTTAGTAACCAATTATAGTAGATCAGTTTTACCCCAGAGCTAATGCAAATTGATTCAACAAGGGCAAGGACTCTTTCAGAAGAAGAAAAGCAGAGACAACAGGCCAATAATCTTTGTCTATACTGTGGCAAACCTGGGCATATAGCTAAGAGTTGCCCGAGGAAAAATAATGCCAAGCATAGAATCAATGCTATGGAAACAAATTTGGAGAACTTAGGAAAAGAGATGCCCCAACTGCAGTAAGAGGTTTGCAGTTGGATAGCACTTGTAACAAAGGCCCCAAACAAATAATTCCTGATACTTTAATGAATACTTTTGTTATACCAGTATCTATACAACTTTTGAACAAATCTATGTTGCCTATCAATGCATTAATAGACTCTGAAGCTTTGGTTTGTTTTCTTGATTATACTTTGGCCCACAAATACAACTTACCTATCAATACTAAAAGCACATCGCTATCTGTAGAAGTAATAGATAGATAAGAAATATCATCTGGAGCAGTTATACATGAGACCGGGCCATTGCTGCTGTGTTATCAGAACTATTACAAAGAAATTATATTTAATATAATTCAAATGCCACACCATCAAGTCATTCTGGGACTACCATGGTTAGTCCACTACAACTCTAATATTAATTGGCACGAGTGTATACTAAAATTTCCAGATGCAAATTGTAATCTACATCTTAAATATCCATTAACAAAACAACTAACAACCTACATCAGTATATCAGAAAGAGTCTTCTTGGCTCAAGTCTTCTACATAGCCTCTGTAAGAAGAGATTCCGTTACTCTACCTGGCACTCCCAACAAAATATAATAACTTTAGTGATATATTTGATAAAAGAGAGGCGAATAAATTACCAGAGCACAGACCCTATGAATGTGCTATAGACTTAGTACCTGGAAAACAGCCTCCATGGGGGCTATATATGGACTGTCAAAATTAGAATTAGAAATACTAAAAAAGTATATAGAAGAAAACCTGGACAAAGGATATATTAGACACTCTAGGTCTTCTGCTGGGGCCCCTATACTGTTCATCAAGAAAAAGGATGGGTTATTGAGGTTATGTGTAGACTATCGTGGTTTGAATCAAGTTACTATAAAAAACAGATACCCACTTCCTCTTATTTCAGAATTACCACATCATCTATTCTCAGCTCGAATCTTTACTAAAATAGTTTTGAGAAGCGCTTACAATTTAGTTAGGACTAAACCAGACGATGAGTGAAAGACTGCATTTCATACCCATTACAGTCTTTTTGAATATTTGGTAATGCCTTTTGGGCTTACAAATGCTCTGGCAGTCTTTCAATATTTGATGAACGATGTGTTCAGAGATTTTTTAGATAGATTCATTATTATATACCTAGATAATGTTTTAGTATACTCAGCAGCCTCTGAAGAACATACCCTACATATAAAACAAGTTTTAGAATGACTCCTTCAATTTGGTCTATATGCAAAACTGGTAAAGTGTGAGTTTAATAGAGATTGCGTCGAATTCCTAGGGTATACCATAAAGCCTACAGGGATAGAAATGGATAGAAAAAAGGTTAACAATTTGCTTTCATAGCAGTACCCACAACTCTTAGAGAAATATTGCATTTTTTGAATTTGCTAATTACTACTATCACTTTATAAAAAACTATTCTCAAGAGGCATGCCCCTTACAAACCTGACTCGAAAATCAAATAAGGAGTTCAAATAGACCAAAGATGCACAAATAGCTTTCGAGAGGTTAAAGAAAGCTTTTATCCCAGCCCCAATTCTGGTACACATGGATCCTAAAAAACAATTTTTTTTGGAGACTGATGCTTCAGACTATGCTTTGGGGGCCATACTGTTCTAACTTCAAGAAGATGGCCATCTGCACCTAGTTGCATATTACTCTTAGAAATTCTCACCCACAGAAGTGAATTATGATATTCACGACAAGGAGCTTCTAGCTATTATAACTGCTTTTAAACAGTGGCATCATTACCTAAAAGAGGCCCAACATAAAATCATCATCTATTGTGACCATAAAAATCTCCAATACTTTACTTCTGCCTAGCTCCTCAATCATTGTCAGGCCCGTTGGTCATTATACCTGTCTAACTACGAGTTTGAAATCCTATTTCATCCAAGGAAAGATCAAGGCAAATCAGATGCACTATCCCACAGGCCTGATTATAAACCTCCCCAGGGTGAATCTATCTCTCACCAAATGGTACTGTTGAAACAAGAGAAAATTCATCTAAATGTCATTTCAACAGCACCATTAGATTATGTCCTTCAGCAACATGTTAAATCTCAATTAAAAGCAGATCTGCTCACCTTGGATGTTATAAAACACCTGAACAATACCATTACAACTTACAATGGCTCTCAATCTGACTACTATAAATTTTTATATAAAGATGGTCTGCTTTACAAAGATGGGCTATTATATGTACCTGGTATAGCAGAACAACTTGAGATATTGCAGGCTCAGCAAGACTCTAAGTTAGCTGGGCACTTTGAAACAGCTAAAACTATTGAATTAGTAACTAGAAACTATTGGTGGCCCAATCTCCAATCCTTTGTATGAAGATATATCAGAACTTGCAACATGTATACTAGATCAAAGACACTAAGACATCATCTCTACAGATTGTTAATGCCTCTGCTCATTTCTTCATACCAATGGCAATCTATATCTATGGACTTTATAACTGACTTACCTATTTTCTCGGGTTTTGACTCTATCCTAGTGGTGGTGGATCGTCTGATAAAAATGGCCTATTTTCTTGCTTTTTATAAAAATATTACTGCTGAACAAACTGCCTGGTTAGATTTGGGCAATAGACCATCTACATGAAATACCTGAAGAAATTATCTCTAATAGAGGGCCACAATTTGCTTCCCGGTTCTAGAAACACCTCTTCGAACTCCTAGAAACAAAAATCAGTCTATCTTCAGCATATTAACTACAGACAAATGGGCAGAGTGAGAGGGTCAATCAAGTACTAGAGTAATACCTAATATGTACCATAAATTATCACCAGGATGATTGGACCGATCTTCTACCTTTAGCTGAATTTTCTTACAATAACTCCATGCATTCATTAACAAAAACTGCACATTTCTTGCTAATTACAGATTCAGCTCACGTTTCGATATCCAAGCACCTTCACGACCAACTGTACCATCTGCCGAGGATAAGACAACTTAATTACAACAAATTAGAAAAAAACTTCTGCAAGAATTGAGGGCCACACAAAATCGTTACAAAAAAAATACTGATTGATGACAACAAGAACTACCTTTGTTCAAGATTAATGACCAAGTTTGGTTAATAGGGAAAAATATTTGCACACAACGTCCATCAGGGAAATTGAATTATAAAAAGTTAGGGTCTTATAAGATCATAACTCAAATTAACCCTGTAGCATATCGCTTAGACCTACCCCCTTCTCTCAAAATCTATGATGTATTTTACATATCTCTCTTGGAACTATATATAGCAAATGACATCCCTAGTAGGTGCAAGGAACCATCCCCTCCAGTAATAATAGATGGAGAAATGGAATACGAAGTTGAGAAAATAGTTGACTCGAAATTAATCTGGAAGGAACTATATTATCTAATTGAATGAAAAGCCTATGACCCAAGCGAACACTCGTGGGAACCTGCTGAAAATGTAGTGCATGCCAAAGAGGCTATAAAAAGTTTTTATCAGCTATACCCTCATAAACCTGGACTGAAAACAACTTCGAGAAAATCAAAAAGAAAGAAGAAGAAAAGCATTAAGGAGGAGATAATGTTACAGTTACATGGCCAAGCTGCTCAAGCCCATGACTCAAGCCCAACTCAAGCCTATAACTCAATCCTGACTCAAACCAGTGACTCAAGTCCGATTCAAGCCCGACTTAAGCCTGTGACTCAAGCCTGTAACTCAAGCCCGAAGCCCAGATTCATTATGAATCCAAGACTTCGGTTGTATATCAGAATCCTGACACACAAAATCCCGACACACAAAATCCTGGCAACAAAATCCCAATACACAAAATCCTGACAAATTAAATTCCTAATTTTAATATTTTTAGGATTTTAATTTGTCAGGATTTTGTGTATCGGGATTTTGTTGCCGGGATTTTGTATGTCGGGATTTTGTGTGTCGGGATTCTGATATACAACCCAAGACTTCATTTGTATAAGAAATGAAGTAATCCAGTTGTAATAACAGAGCCATGCATTAACAATGTAGTCATAGTTTTGTAGAACCTCAGCAATTATACGATAGCAATTAGTAATTAGTAATAAAAGAATTACAAAATAAAAAGAAAGAAATTGTATACTTATCTCTTTAGTCTGTTCAATAAATTTTTCATTGTACCATACTTAAATTCTAGCTGCATCTTGTGTCATGACATATATAATATTAGTTAAAAATTGCCTACTCTGAAAAGTAAAATACTGATTTTTATTATCAATAAATAATTAAAAGTTATTGTCAAAGCTAAAAAATTAGATAAGAAAAAAAAATAAAAAGTAATATTATTCTTTAACAAAACAATATATTTATTAACTAATAGTCTTTAAGAACTAGAAAAAGTAATTATAATATTCTACTATATAGATACTTCTGATACAAGACTAATTAAATAGCACTTTTATTAATATCTTCTAATAAGCAAGAATTTTTGAACAAAGAACTAGTATCATTAAAGAAATAGTAATTGATTTAAAAGTCAGAAAATTTCTAGGTCTTCCTAGTAGTTATTATTCTAAAAAAATAAAAAGTTATAAATATATATAGATTACTACTAATTAAACAATATAATAAAACAGGATATATATTTATTACTCTGCATAGATAATTTGTTAGAAAAATTCTAAAAAGTAAATTAGTTTTTAAGCCTGAATCTAAAAAGTAGCTATTGGCAAGTGTAAACAAGTTTTGAGTTATGCTATTTAAATTGTACAATATACTTGCAATATTTTAATAGCTTATAAATATGGTGTTAGTGAACTATATTGAAAAATTTGTATCAATATTTATTAATAACATCAATATTTACTTAAAAACTTTTAACAAATATTTAGTACATTTAAAGAAAATATTTGTGAAGTTAAAGAAAACAGCCTAAAAATTAATATAGAAAAGTGTAGCTTCTTTAAACCAAAAATCTAATTTTAAAAGCATATTATTGGTTAAGAAGATATTTAATTTAATAAAGAAAAAATTGAAAAGGTTAAAAACTACTTAGTCTTAATAAATTTTTGATATTTATGAAACTTGTATTCTATTATTAATAAATTATTAAAGATTTTGCAATTATAGAGTAGTTACTAAACTACTTATTTAAAAAAAAATATTAGATATAAATAAAGTGATGATTAACAAAAGTTCTTTGATAAATTAAAAACTTACTTAATATTAGTCTCAATTCTCAATATTTTAATTTCACAAAAACTTTCTACTTATATACCAATATCTCAAATACTAAGTTG